GGGGCCGAGCTGCTGGCCTTCGCGCCGGGCTGGGACGCGAGCGCGCCGCGCCTCACCCCCGGCTACAGCCCGCGCGAGCTCCGCGAGAGCGAGTTCGGCCGCCTGGCAGGTGAGACGGGCGCGGGTCCTAGACTGAACGCGAAGGGAGCTTTGTGTTCTGCTCCCTTGTCGTTTGGGGAGCGTTTTGAATGGAAAGACGAGGAGGGACGTGTCCACCTGTCCGTTTCCTGGACACGGCTGCCTGGGGTCTCACCTGGAACCCAACACCTCTTGCTACTGCTGTTCCCTAGATTTTCCAGTGGGGCAGGACCGACTTCGTCCCTTTTCACCTTCTCTACCTCCTATTGCCTGGGGAAAACACGACTCTAAACGTCGAACTGCAGCCAGGGTTGCAAAATGCTGCGTGTCCGCTAGTCAGGACTGTTCTGACAGCGCCGAGCGCAGCAGCCGGGCGTGGGGTCGGGACGGCTCCTGCGGGGGCGCTGGGTTGGGACCGACTGGCTGCGGGCGCCGGGAAGGGCCCTTCCGAGACCGCGCCCCACACTCCGTTGGGATGACCCGCTTGCAACTTTCATTTTCGAAGCCTCGTTTTTCTCGTTTCTGTGGTCGGAGCTGTGCTGCGCTCCCGAGCACTTCCCACCGGCAGCTCCCCGGGAGACTTGAAGACTAGCGAACTGTGCAGCTTGAGCGTTCAGCACGGGAAAAGCCTGTAGGTAAATTGGACTCGAAGGCAGGGATCTCAAGGTGCCGTTGAGTTCTGCAAAGTGCAACCTGTTGATTGAGCTGAAGTCAAGCTCGATCTGGCCGTGGAATACCCCAGGTCATTATTTTAAGTTCCCAACTCCACTGTTTTGTTTTTGTGTTTTATTTTTGAGACAGGGTGTCACTATGCAGTTCAGGCTGGCCTTGAGCTCACTTTGTAACCCAGGCTGGCCTCGAACTCACAATTCTCCTGCCTCAGCCTCCCTAGTGCTGGGATTACAGGCGTGCGCCACCACGCCCGGCAAGGGACCTGGAGACGCGGCCTCCTTCACGAAGCCTCAGACCTGCCTGCCGTGTAGTCAGGGAGGGGTAGCAGGTGAGGGCAATCGCTGTCCAGGGCACCTGGATTTACTTATCTGTTCTTGAAAAACTGGTGAGTGTTCCAGTTTTCGGCAGAATTCAGCTCTTCGAGTCATTTCTCCATGTTTTTTTTTTTTTTGTTGTTGTTGTTGTTTCCCCCGCCCCCTCTCCGGTACCAGGAATCGAACTCACGACCTTGCGCTTGCCAGGCAGGCGCTGTGAGGCTGAGCTAAATCCCCAGCTCTCATTTCTCCATGTTTTGAAGGGTAACTTTTTTCTGTCAGACGTGGTGTGGACTGCTTGTGCAGTTCCCGGCTGTATTCAAGCACGGAGAGTCTGGAGGGAGGCAGGGAGGTCTTTGCCTATCTCTTTGTGCTCTCCCTATTCTTTCCTGCTCCCTGTGGGCTTTACTGCATTATCGCCCGCTGGAGACAGCCCCTCATCCCTCTACTTTCGGGGCCTCTCTCTGTCGTCCCCTCTTTCTTATGGAAATTTCCTACCACACAGAAATAGTCTGGTGCTCCGGACACACAGGTGCAGAGGGGAGGAGTCCCTCCATTCTTTTGAAGCAAAGCCCAGCGCTTGTATCATTAATGGGTTATTATTTCAGCACAACACTTCCTTAATCTCCCAAATCCCCTCCAGCTCTGATCCCTTACACCCACCACTGGCTGCCCTACCCTGTAAAACAGGCCTGCTCAGGGCCCCTCCTGATTTCACTCTCCTCCCTCAGGGGACAGCACTTTTCTTCTCAAGTGCAAAACAGTCCTGGCAGCCGGGATTCCAGCCTGGCCTCCTGAACCCCTTTCACATCTGCTGTATTTGTTGTGTTAGGCGTATCCTCAGTGATATAGTGCAGTCCCAGCATTTCCTCTGCATTATGGCTGAAGAGGACTTTTGTGAACTAAACTGACACTCCTCCCACCCCTCTGGGAATCTAGGAACAAGTTCACTTTTTTACTCATAGAACAGATGGCAGGGAAGAACAGACCAGCCAACCAAACAAAAATAATACTGTATCGCCTTCTCTTTTCCCCCATTGTTCCTTGAAGATTTTCTGCAAGTTTGAACGTTTATCTGTTAAGTGGTGGGATAATTAGGTGCTTAATCTTTAAATGTTGAAATGTTTTCCTTAACCAGTTGGATGAGAGTTTCCTCCTTTTAGTGAAGGGAGTACATTGAATATATAGGTTTAGCTCAAGTCCTTCTTGAAACTTTAGGGTACTAATTGAAAACCGCTTAGTCTGTGTGAACCAGACAGTTGATAGGACATCTACTAGTCACTTGCTTTGTCTCTTGGACAAAATACCTGATACCCACAATTTAGAGTAGAGGTTTATTTTGGCTCAGAGTTTTTAGAGGATTCAGTTCTGGTCGGTTGGCTCCAAAGCGGAAACGGCATGGCAGAAGGACATGGCAGAGGAAAGGGGCTCCACCCAAGACAGGCAGAGAGCAGAGAGAGAAGAGAGGAACTCTGGACTAGAGTACACCCTTCCAGGTCACACCCTTAGTGACCCACCCCAACCAGCCCCAGTCTCTAAGAGTGCATTCAGCTATGAATTGTCAGTGTGCTAATCCACTGATAAATATAGCACCCCCTTGATCTGGTCACCTTCCAGAAGCCCCACCTCTGAATATAAGAAGTTTTAAGTGGCATTTCACTTTTTTTTTTTTTTTTTTTTGAGATGAAGTCTTGCTATGTATTCCAGGCTGGGCTGGAATTCACTATCAGTTTGTAGTATGAAACTCAAACTCAAGGCAATTCTCCTGCCTCAACCACTCAACTGCTGGGATTACAGACATCCATCACCATGCCCACCTTAGGGGGCATTTTAGATCTAAACCGTATCAGCACATCCCAGAAGACACCCTGTAATTATCTCTCTTGAAGATCTAATGTCAGTTGGCTTTGGGGTTGGTTGCCTGCTTCTAATAACAACTAGAACTGTGAGATGACTTCTGTGAGCCAGGCACTGGACCAAGTGTGTCTCCAACTTCCTGGGGTCTCCACTGTACTTTCCTCTTCACTCTCACAGCTTCACACACTGCCCTCTCAGGGGCACACTGAATGGCCGCCTAGGCCTCCTTCTGAAAGCTGGGTGAAAACCTCTATGAGCCTGTAACTATTGCATTCTGCATGCCTTTAAAAGCAGGACCATATGGATGATGCCAAGGTCTACTGCCACTCAGAGAGTAGCCAGCACCCCCACCCCCAATCATGGCTGCAGAGGTCTCTGAGTGCAAGGAACAAATCCTGGGGAACAAATTCCTTAAACTGCCATTTCTTTCTTTTTTTTTCCCCCCAGTACCGGGAATTGAACTCATGACCTTGTGCTTTCCAGGCAGGCGCTGTGCCGCTGAGCTAAAACCCCAGCCCCTAAACTGCCATTTCTAAGCAAGATGCCCTGGGGTTCTCTTCTCCAAACAGTCATTTCTACTCTTGAATGTGTAAAAAGTGAGATCTTTCAGGTTCCTCCCATCCTGTCAAGGTGCCCTTTGTATTGTCCCAATATAAAGTTTTGGTTTCTTTTCATACTAGTCTTTTCAGCAACCAAACTCTCCCCTGCCTCAGCTTTATAGGCCCCAGCATTTGTTTTTTTGGAGGCCACAATTTTTGTTGTTTTTGGAGAAAATGTCTCGCTTTGTAGTTCAGGCTGGCCTTGAACTTACCATATAGCTCAGGCTGGCCTCAAACTCAAAGCAGTCCTTCTCCTCAGACTCCAAGTGCTAGGATTACAGGAGTGTTCTATTACACCTGGATAGGCCTCAGCCTTAATGGGAACTGAGCTTCCTTTTTGGTGAAACTGAAAACTTTAAAAATGACCCATCTGTGCTATTTGCTCTTGATTCTCAATGTAGAGTTGGCTAAAAGCCCCCAGCAGTACCCATGCCATAGCCTGAATGTTGGGCTGCCTTGAAATTTACTCTGCCAGATTAATTAGTCCACCACCCTTAGTCTCTCACGAAGTCTCAGGACATGAGCAAAATGAAGACAAATTTTCTGCCAGAGCATAATATACATGGGCTCAAATTCAAGTACCAATTGAGTCCTTGCTCCCAACTGAAACCTCCTAAGTCTGGTCTGTACCCTCTACCTTTTTATCAGCATTTTAGTCATCTGAGCTTCAACCAGAATCTCCCATTAAGATGGGCTGACAGCATTCTAGGGCTGCTTTTCCAGCCAGTACCTCCAAACCTTTCCAAACTCCTTCCACAAATCACTTTCAAAGGCTTTTAAACCACATGGTCAGGGGGTGTCATAGCAACAACCCCACTCTTGGTGCCCAAATCTGCATTAGTAACTTTCTTGTCGTGAGACATAATACCAGACACCTGAAATTTAAAGAAAGTTTGATTTTGGCTCGTGTTTCAGCTCACAGTCAGCTGGCAAGGCACAGGGACATGGCGGAGGAAAAGCACCTGATGGCACAATGCCTGGTTAGCAGAGTGAAGGGAAGGAGTGTGGGAGGGAGGGAACCCCTTCAGGCCACACCCTAGTGACCTGAGTCTTCTGACTGCATCCCATCTCTTAACAGCAAGTCAGTTACAAGCCTCATAATCCAATCACCTTCACAAAAAGCCTTGCTTGTAAGCACATGAGGCATTTGGGGGACCCGTAGGTAAGCCCAGCCTAAGAAACTTAGCAATTTCTCAAAAACTAAACATTTTAAAAAGGGGTAGGGGTTGAGGATGTAACTCAGTGCAAAGACCCTGGGTTCAATCCCCAGTACTACAAAAATAAAATAATCAAATAGGAGAGTGGCAATAATTGCACAACATTATAAATAAACAAAAAACCCCACTGAATTGTACACTTTAAAAGGAAGAATTTTATAGTGTGTGGATTACATATTAATAAAGCTGTTATAAAAATTCATCTTATACAACACAATATTTAAGTTAATTAAAAAAATAAACAGATCTATTGATATTGTATATACTTGAAACAATATTTCAGGGTTTATTCCATGTTAGTAGTATAAAGTCCTAGATGAGTGTGTAACAATTCTTTATTTTAAATATGTGTTGATAGACATTTGTTTTCTCTTTTTTGAGATGGGGTCTTGCCATGTTGACCTTGAACTCGCTTATGTAGCCCAGGCTGGCCTTAAACTCATGGTGATCTTCCTGCCTCAGCCTCCTTAGTGCTGGGATTACAGGCACGCACCACCATGCCCAGCTCAGACATTTGTTTTTAATTTTTCCTATTACAGTGTTACATTGAATGTCCTTATGTACAGTACAGGTCATTTCACAAAAGGATGGGTATTTATAAGATACAGATCTAGAAGAGAGATTGCTAGGTCAAGAAGTAGCTGCATTGCAAAATGTGACTGGTATTACCAGATTTTCCACATTTGTGGAAAAGATGGCTTTTCCACAAAGAAGTTGTATGATTTTCTTTCCTACCAACTATGTGCCAGCAGCTTGTGGCCCCCTACTGTCACCCCCACATAAGGCATCCAACCTTTTGATCTATGCCAGTCTGGAAAACCACAGTATCTCCTGCTCATCTAAATCCGCATTTCTGTCTGCGGAAGAGAGGCTGGAGGAATCTCTTTTCTCTAAAGCTCTGACAGCTGTTCTAGGCTTGAGGGCTGTGGAGCAGTGTGGGAAAACAGTCAGGGCTCACCCATCAGGGAATGGCTCAGAACCTCCAGAACAGGACATGAGTGAGTCATGGTGGGAAATAGTGGCATCGCTGTTTATTGCAAATATCTATTGGGTGCCTCTGTGTGGAATACCAGTTCTAGGATCTTAAGGGAACTGGTTAATCAGGAAGGCTCCCTCAGGGCTTTGCAGCTCACCAAGCAGAAGTGCAGTTCTTCATTGTTCATACCTGAATGTAGATAAGAAACAGGACATCAGCAGCTCAGGCAAATCAGTGGCCTGATATAATGTTGAATGGGCACTGGGTGGGTTCACACAACCAGATTTAGGCAAAATGTCTGGGAGACTTATGCAAAACAACCTGCAGTTTTATTTTTTTGTATTTTTCCTTCCAGAAACTGTCTACCTTGATCATGCAGGAGCTACCTTGTTCCCACAAAGCCAGCTCACAAATTTTACTAAGGATCTCATGGAAAATGTTTATGGTAAGAAAAAAAAAAATACCACACCAAAACCGGTTTTAGCCAACTACTGTGTGTACTGCTGCTAAGTCTGTGTTTAATGATGTTGCATTGATAGCTGGAGGCCACACTGAGCACACAAAACTGAATAAACCTCAGGTCAGACAGGGGGTCAGGCAAGTGCCCAGAGTCATTGTGTATCATCCACACATGGCCAGGATGGAAGGGTCCAGCTCAGGAGTGCAGAGGTTACTCCCAGAAGAAGGGGTCCATGTCAGGAAGGGCACAGAAGTTTGAAGGTGCTGTGTTTGGTGTTGTGGGTGACTCTGCACAGCGCAGAGGCTGGGGCAGCAGGAGGAACATCATTCATTCATTCACCTTGTAAGTGTTTCCTGAGACACTATAGTTTAAGGGGCACAGTGATGTAAGGGAAGCAAACATGATCCTTTTCTTCTTGGAGAGTACAGACTAGTCCCAGAAGACAAGATCTTAACCAAGGGATCGACAAATAAATGTAATCACCGCCTGTGTGAAGGTCCATGACCCGAAGGTATGTGGCCATAGGAGTCTGTGTCTGCAGTGACAGTGGTTTGGCAGTGTATGTGTCAGGGAAAGATTTATTGGGAGTGAAGTGGATGCCAGAGGACGAGCCAGATTCACTAGGACAAGAGAAGGCCGGATTCACTAGGAAGAGGAGAAGGTACACAGGCAGTGGTAATAACACAAGCCAAGATCTAGTAGGGGTTTCAGGAAGCAGCTGAGGTCTATGGAGAGAGAGGAGTATGGGAGAGGTGCTGATGGAAGGCAGACCTGTGCAGGGTATTGTAAATGCTCTGAAGAGCCCAGCCAGTGTTTTAGGACCAATGGGCCATCATTGAGGGCCTTCATCAGCAGCACAACTGTTTAGGGGTTGACCTTGGAAAGGGAGTTTGAAATAATAGCAGCTGTAATATTTGGTGATGATCACAGTGATCAGTAGCATTCATCAATGACTCACTATATGTGTCAGGTATGGTCCCTAATACCTTCCAAGTATGATCCTTGTTCATCTTCCCAACAACCCAGGAAATGTAGGTTCTGTTATTATCCTAATTTATAGGTGTGCACGTAAGAGCCCAGGTAACTAATATAAGTCTGCACGGCCAGGAAGTACTCAAGCTGAGGGAGCTGGGGGCTGATTACCAGGCAGTTTGGCTGCGGACCCCGAACACTTACTCCTCCCCAGCCCAGCTGCCTCCAGTCCTGTTATGCCACACTAAGGTGTTTGAACCTTGGCTCTGGGCAGCCAGTAGAACTTTAAATCTGGGGAAAAAAATTAAGACTTAAAGTCACCACAGTAGGGATGCACATGTACTCATGCTTATAATAGCACAGTTCATAATAGCTAGATCTTGGAAACAGCTTGTATGTCCATTCACAGACAAGTGGAGTGGTGTTCATACACAATGGAGTACTACTGTGGCATAAGAAAGATCACCTTGGGGGCTGGGGATTTAGCTCAGCGGCAAAAGCGCTTGCCTGGCAAGCGCAAGGTCGTGAGTTCGGTTCCCGGTACTGGAGAAAAACCAAAAAAAAAAAAAAGAAAGATCACCTTGAATCATTCATAGGTGAAAGGACGCACCTTGAGACCATAATGTTATGTGAAATAAGTCAGACACACAAGCTTAAATATCACATGGCTTCTTTTCCATGGGAAAATCAAATATATCTGTATCTGTATCTGTAGCTATGTAATGGATAAGTAGGGAAGTCTTTTTCAGATGGATAAGGGAACAAGAGATGGAGGAAAGGGAAAGGAAGGGAAGAAAAGAATTGAAGAAAAAGGTGAAAATAAAGCTTTTGTGAATGGGAAGGGGGTCAAGAGATGGAAGGAGCAGGAAGGGAGGTGAGTGATAGGGGATGAAAAAGAGTTAAGATGTCTTATTGCATATGTATAAATCCTCCACAATAAATGTAATCATTATGTACTGCAAACGTGTACTACAAATTTTAAAAAACAAATCTGGGGAAACCGTCAGGGAAGCTGTCAACTAGGAGCTTTGTCTTGACTTTATGATGTGTAGAGAAACCTACATTTTTCCTTCTATAACCCTGATAGGAACCACAACCTTGGCAAAGGTGTTAGCCCGCGAGATGGCTGCTTGGGGTTTCAGTAGGGCGAACGTGCTTGGGGAGGAAAGGCAGTGAGGACAGATATCAAGTCCCACGGTCACTAGCTGAGGTGGAACGGGAATTGCCAGTAACTGCGTTGGCCAGAAATCCAGTGCGACCCTTCAGGGTGCTGTAGGGAATAAAACCTAAAATGAAAAAGGCCAAGCCTGCGTGAATGTGCACATGTGACTCTGCGCCTGGGAAATGCGGGGCCAGGCCTCACCAGAGCGCTGTGCTCATGGCTGAGAACTGGGTTTGGAGGGTCAGCAGGATTCTTTGGGATGCACAAGGGGGTGTGTGTGGGGGGATAGAAGTCACCAAGGGGCAGGGAGGTTGGGAGCCTTTTGTTTCTATAGTGGGAAGCTGAGGGTCTGTTTCCTTCACACATTTTGTGGAGGAGGTTGGTGCATTTCTACAGGGACAGTGCCAGCAGCGATGGAGGGGACAAAGGTGCAGCAGAGGGGAACCATGTAAGTGGCATTCATGGTTCTCTGTCCTGAGGTTGTGTCCTTGGTTCTCTGGAGTTAATGGACACAGCCTCTGGCCACAGGTAGGGGAACTGACAGAAAAGGCTCCTGGCCTGGTTGCCTCTGAGCTGACTTCCAGCTCCAAACCCCTTTTTGTTGACCTATCTTATTTAATAAGGGAGGCCCTCCAGCAGCTTTATTGAATTATATTTTATATATCCTAAAATTCACCTATTTCAAATATATAATTCAGTGTTTTTTAGTACTTTTACTGACTGGTCCAACCACTCCATAAATCAGTGGGAGCACTTTTATTCTCCCAGAGAGCCCTCCGGCCCATTTGCAGTGAGTCCCCGTGGTCACCATAGCACCTGATCTACTGGTTTCAGTATCTCTGTACAGTGTAGTTGTCTTACTGGGCATTTCACATAAATGGAATTATACAACCACATGTCCTCTGGTGTTTTTTGAGACAGGGTCTCACTATGCAGTTCAGGCTGGCTTTGAACTCACTTATGTGGTCCAGGCTGGCCTCAAACTCACAACGATCCTCTTACCTCAGCCTCCCAAGTGCCGGGATTACAGGCATACGCCACCACGCCCTGGTAACAACATGTCCTCTAAGTCTGTTGCTTAGCAGGTTTTTGAAGTTCATTCATGGCATAGCCAGTAGTTTGTTCTTTTTTTTTATTACCAAGTAATTGTCCATTGTATGGATATACTGTATTTTGTCTATCTGTTGCACAGTTAGTGAGCATTTATATTGTTTCTAGAATTTGACTTTGTGAATAGAGCTGTTATGAACATTTGTGTGTGAGTCTGGATGGACATACATTTTTATTTCTCTTGGGTAGATACCTAGGAGTGGAATTGCTGGGTCATATGATAGTTTTATTTTTAGCTTTTAGAGAAACTGAGAGAGAGCATTTTGAAAGAACACAAAAGAAAAAAACATAGTAACGACCCTAAAGTTTTGTCTTTGTAACCTGCCAGGTAATCCTCACAGCCAGAACATCACGAGCAAGCTCACGCATGACACTGTGGAGCAGGTTCGTTACAGGTGAGTGACAGGGACACCTGCCTGTGCTGGCCACCTATGTGGACAGACTTCCTTCTAAGCATCTGCTTGTACCCTACAAAGATTCGGAGTAGGTTTCAGGAAGATCACATTCAACTCTGAAGCAGTGCATACATGATAATAAATATCAGTCAGAGGACACAAAGGTGAGATTAAATACCAAATGGGATAGACAAAATGCCCAGGCAGGTGGCTCTGTAGTCACATGGTTGTTTAAAGTAAGTGTGAGAGGGTAACAAAACCACAAGGTCTTGTTCTCAGAAAGAAAAAAAGCACTGCCTATTATATTTTTGTTTATTTATTTATTTTTGAGACAAGGTCTTGCTAAGTTGCCCAGGCTGGTCTTAAACTTGCATTCCTCCTTCTTCAGCTTCTTCATAGCAAGGATTTCAGCTGTGAGCCACTATACCTCATACCCCATCAACACTTTTTAACTAAACATGTAATAATTGGTGTCTGGCAATTAATTTCCAGGTGGTACCTAAAGTTACCTGAATAATACAAATTATTTCAGATTTGAAAATAACAGCTGGGTGATAGGTTTGCCAAGATTAAAAGGGGCATAACACTGGTTGATGACTTAAAACTTGTGATAGAACTGGGCAGAAGACACACCAAGGAGAAGGTGTGTGTGACCAACCTCAGGGTCATTGTAGATTTCTGTGTGTCCCATTGGAGATCGATTAATCTCCAGTGACATCATCTGCCTCAGTCCTAACCTCACAGTTGCAGCAAAACCTATCTGGAATTTTTCTAGCTCCTAGGGTAGATATGTTCTACTTAGCAGAAGTAACCTCCAGACAGCGTTGAGAGCCTGGCACCCCCTGACACTCTGCTTCTTCCAGGGTTCTGGCACATTTTCATACCATGCCTGAGGACTATAGCATGGTTTTCACATCCGGGAGCACGGCTGCCCTCAAACTGGTGGCAGAGGCCTTTCCATGGGTGTCCAGAGGCCCAGAGAAGAGTGGGAGTCAGTTTTGTTACCTCACCGACAACCACACCTCTGTGGTAGGCATGAGGAAGGTTGCTGAGGCCATGCATGTCACATACACCCCAGTCAGCCCAGAGGACATGTGGTCAGCAGAGGAACAGAGTGCTGTGGCCTGTGACCCTGACTGCCAGCTTCCACACCTCTTCTGTTACCCGGCTCAAAGTAACTTTTCGGGAACCAGATATCCCCTCTCCTGGATAGAGGAGGTCAAGTCCGGGAGGCTCCGCCCTGTGAACGTGCCTGGGAAATGGTTCGTGCTGTTGGATGCAGCCTCTTATGTGAGCACTTCCCCTTTGGACCTGTCGGCTCACCAGGCAGACTTTGTCCCCATCTCCTTCTATAAGATCTTTGGATTCCCCACCGGCTTGGGTGCTCTGCTGGTCAATAATCGCGTGGCTCCACTACTGAGGAAAAGCTACTTTGGAGGAGGGACCGCCGCTGCCTACCTTGTGGGAGAAGACTTCTACATCTCGAGGCCTTCGGTGGCTGAAAGGTAACTTTGCCATGGGGATGGCTGGTGCAGTTCACCAAGGCAGATCGGCACGTGTCGCCTATGGGATCATGCAAGGAGTGTCCAAGCCACAGAGTTAGGGGAGCTGATCACTGCTGGCAGGACAGGTTGGCAGCAGGACCCAGATCTGAGAGGCAGAGGTTGGTTGGAGCGTGCTAGGGGCAGCTCAGTGATCTCTGCTCCCATGTGTAGCACGCTCTGTGATGGTGGGGGCCCTGCCCTGTAGATAAGATCTGTGAGCAGAGGTGGACAGGCACTGGGCTTGACCCCACAGCACTCACAAGGTGGCAGCAATTGCTACTGATGAGTCTCTTTGGAAGAGCACGAACCCCATAGCAGCACCCTCTGTTCTCCAGCAGCTGGAACCAGCTCTGGTTGGCCCGTTAGCAGGCAGAGTCCATAGGACCAGCGGCCTTCCGACCTGCAAAGCAGTATCCATGGGAAGCTGAGGGCAGCTTCTTCAAACAGGCTGGGGGTCTTGCTGGCTTCCTTGGACTGTACCTTTGGCAGTGAGTCTATCTCACACATGCCACAGTGCGCACGCAGAGCCCTCTCTGTTGGCATGTGAGCCAAGTGGGTGAGTTTTTTCTAAACTAGAACCTGAGCATTCAGGTTTAATTGTGGTGTTGGCACTTTGCGATGAATAATGGGTTTGGGGATTGCAGTTTCGGCACTGGGTCTCTGAAAGGTTTGCCCACTGGCCTCGTTTCCTCAGGCTGCAGGGCAGCTGTGTGGTTTATGGCAAGGACTCTCCCAGACCGTGATGGCAGCACCCATCACTTCGAATACATGTGGCAAGTGAAATGGTCACTGACCCAGGATTCTGCCGACCCAGCAGTAGGGGCCACCATGAGGTCGAGGTAGGGAACTAACCACCCAGCTGGTACCAGAGAAGGCCTGGGGCTGAGGGGAAGATGGCTTAGTCCAGGCAGTCCTGGGTGCAGCCTCAGGGTCCTGCAGACAGGGCTATGCCTCAATGTAGAATTAGGGTTAGCTGTAGGGCCTGCTGGAGGGCAGGTCAGCAGCTGGGGCATGTGTGTCTCAATTTCTGCACCTCGTATTTTTCCTGTAACATGGGGGGTGATGATACTATTCTTCTGCAGCTAATGTCGGTGAAGCACCAGGAGAGAGAGGGTATCAATACATGTTTTTATTTTTGGAACCTGGAATTGAATTCACGACCTCAAGCTTGCCAGGCAGGCGCTGTGCCGCTGGGCTATATCCCCGGCCCCTCAATACATGTTATGAAACAGTTTGCAGTCTTCTTTTTTTTTTTAAAGGACATTTCCATAGTTGGGAGATTCTAAAGCAGGAACACTAATGTGAAATCTTTTAAATCTAGGTATGATAATTTGCTGTGTAATATAACCAAGCAAGAACTGAATGACTGGCACAACATAATGTAAATCAAAGGCTGAACAAAGAGAAACTGCAAATCTAATTTGGCCATAGGGCCCTGAAGGCAAAAAGGCCAGCTTGTTATGGGCCAGGGCATGGGTAGGCTAGGGAACGCTGGACCTCTTTGCTTTGATTTGGATAGATTGCTTTATATACAGCATGTGCCACTCTAAGACTCCCAGAAAGCACAACATACTCATTTACCTTTATAACTGTAACTTTTTTCTTATGAACCTCAGGCTAGGACTCAATATATAGTACTCAATCCAAATGCTTACTGAACCTCAACCATGCTCTTAACCTTTTGTATTTTATAATTCTATGAAATACAACCCTGATAGAAACAAAAAGGCTTTCCTCTTTTAGTCTAAGGAAAAATTTAAATTAATTATTTATATATTAATACATAATTATTTATTGAGAATTAACTCATGGCTGAAGTCATTATTAGTTAATAAACTTCAGTTTATTGGTGATAGTTTACTAACTCATTTGTGGTTCATCAATTAATAATTGATGCATATTGAATCATGAGTTCTATATGTATTACCATAGTTTTTTTTATTTTTTCAGATCATTTTCTTTGTTAGTGCATGTTTCCTTTTAATTTTATCCATACATGTTTGCAGTACATGAAATTTATATTCATCGTGGGGGGCAGGCACATGTACATAACACCGCTTGTGTTTTTTTAAGTCTTCCCATTCACCTCCCTCTCTCCACCTCTAAGTCCCCTTTCGTTATTGTCATTCTTGTTATTATTCTTAGCTCATGTTCATGACATTTAATGTTTGTATTCATCGTGTTTATTTATTTGATACCTGTACATAGACCATCTTAATTCTTCTTTCTTCACCTTTCTCTCTCTTCTCACCCTTGATCTCCTGTGCCCTCTTCCATTTTCAGGAGATCTATCCCCTTGTCTCCTCCTACCCATCCTTAGTTGTGCTCTTTGTACTTTTCTGTACTCAGTGCCATCCAGGGTTTAAGCTTTGTGTGTCTGGGTTATATTACTCATTATACTTTCCAAGTGCATCCATTTTCCTACGGATACCTCAGATTCATCCTTCCTTATGACAGAGTAGTGTTCCCTTAGATACCACATTTTCTTTACCCATTCATCTGTTGATGCACATACAGGCTGCTTCCAGGATTTAGCTATTATAAATTGTGCTGCTATAAACCTTGGCATGCATGTGTTGCTGTAGTATGATGTGTTTCACTCTTTTGGGAAAATACATAGAAGGGGAATAGCTGGGTCATATGGAATTTCTAGCTTTAGTTCTTTGAGAAATCTCCATACTGATTTCCATAATGGTTGTACTAGTTTACATTCCAACCAGCGGTATAGTACATCATGTTTGTAGTACATAATGTTTACATTCCTTGTGGAGAGTTGGTACATGGACATAATACATCTTAATTCCTTTTTTATACCCTTTCCCTTCCTCCTCCATCCATCTCTCAATCTCCTTCTTTTCTTTGCACATATTTTCACAATGTTTACACTACTTGTGTGGATTAGTTTTATAAATACATTAGCCTTGTAGTAACAGTGTTTTAAATACATCTTATTTCTAGACTATTAAAATACAAAGCAGTGTTTCCATTGAAAGCTTTAACTGGCCTAAGGCGGCAGTTGGTCACCAGTCCACCCAGGATGCTTTGAGGCCCCCCTGTTACCCCTGAGGTCTGTCCTTCCCCAGGGGTCTCCTTGAAGGCCAGGGCACCTCACATGCTGTCATTCCTCTGTGCAGAGCCTTCCGGCACTGAAGTCTCACCTCCTCCGCTTCTCTCTGTTTCCTGCCTTGGTCCCTGGCTCACCCAGGTCCAGTCCCCGATCTGCTGTCCCTGCAGTGTGCCAGCTTCTGCTGCCCAGGGCCTTGGCTGCGCCCTCTCCCCACAACGCTGTTTCCCTTGGAAACTGTCCCCCTGGCCCTGGTGAACATTAGTTCTTTCCCTTCCTCCTGACCTCCACATGGCCCCTGCTTACATGATTTTCGTCAGCCCGGACTCATCCTGAGCAGCTGCCCTCTACTTATTCATCTTCATTGGACTTATTAGACTCTGGCATGTTGCTTGCTTGGTTTCTCTGTGTCTGTTTACTGGCTTTTATTCCTTGTTTCATAGAATATAAGGCTATGAGGACAGGGATTTTGTCTCTCTCATTCTCTGCTGTACTCTTAGTACCTAGGACACTGCCTGACCCACAGTAGGTGGACAAACAGACTTGATGATAATTCTAATGAACTGAATAAGTATGAAATGCAAAATTAACACTCTGACAATCAGGAAGGTGTACATCTGCAATATTAATGAGAACCATGTAATTTTAACCTAAATCAGTGGGTCTGTACACTTAGGAGCTGTGAACTCTTGTTAAGAACTTCATAGCTGCTCTGATCTCCCTGAACAGATGCCCTGTCAGTGGTGCCCTCTTGTGGTCAGAGAGCAGTATTTTTAAGAGCCTGTGGCTCTATAGGTTTTGTTAAATACAAATCTTTCCTCAGATAGCAAAGCATCTCTTGTTTTGTCAAAGTGGTTCAAAGTAGTAACTACCTTCTAGGGTTCTTTATCACCCTGCCATTCTACCTTGGAAGTTTAAAGTAGTTCTGGAAAGCTTCAGAGCTGGTCAGGGCCAGATGCAGTGGGCGGGTCTTCCGAGGGAGGCAGCAGTGTTTCACGGGAGGCCGAGGGTGCCTATTGAAAGATCATCACTGTCCTGAAATCGGATGGTCATTACCTGCCACACAGTGCACTTGGAGTGTGTTGGCCACAGCTTGACCTTGTTCCACTCCCCCCACACTGCAGGTTTGAAGACGGCACCATTTCATACCTTGACGTGATAGCCTTAAAGCATGGATTTGATGCCCTGGAGCGCCTCACAGGTCAGTGGAACTTCCCATGTGGAATTAGCTCTTGAGAGCCATGTTCTCAAAGGAGTCCTGGTTCGAGTGTGGTTCTGATGAAGGAGATGATGTTGGTACAGGGAAGTGAGTGGTACATAGTGGTAGGAGCTGGACATTGAGTGCAGTTAAATCTGATTCAAATTATCCTCAAAATGACTTCTCAGAGCAAGGAAATGAGGAGGGTAGTGTGGGGATTTCTTTTCCTTGTCAGTTAAAAGATTATCTAATGGGTGGGAGACATTCTGAATCAGGAGCTTAGCAGCTGTGGAGGTGTGGTGTGTGGTGTCTAGACTGGAAATGGTAATCCCAGGGGTTTACTCAGTTCTCCCCTTGCTGGATTCCCACAGAGCCGCATGCAGAAGCTGGTGACAAGTCCATGCTGCTCTCAAAGGAGCAGGGGCTCAGAGAGGGCCAGTGCCTTCCCAGGCGGGGAGCTGGCAGCTGGGAAGGCTAGGACTGAAACCCAGACTAATGCCTTAAACTTAGACTAATGCCTAACCCCAAGTTCCTGGCCGCTGTCTCTGCCACTGGCCTTTGCATGAAGTGCAGTTTCTTTCCTGATTTGTGCCCTGGGCATGGACAATTGGGGGGCACTGACTGGAGGATGACACACAGACAGATGCCACGTCCCATCTTACAGGGATGGTCACAAGAACACACAATGGGAAGAGCCTGTCTGGTGAGCCAGGCATCACCCCTAGTGCCGTGCTTGTGGGCATTCCTTCCAGGGCAGAGCTCTGAGAACTGGGTGGTGTGGCCTGTACTGGCCATTCAGGGTGGGGTTGTGGTGAGCCAGGGGTGGTTAGGGAGCCCTTCCTCTCTCTGGTCATGCTAATGGGATTCTTTGGGTTCTCAGCCTTGGCCCCAGACTGGGGCAGATGGAATTCACGGACGGGAGCGTCACCCTGATGGTGATGCAGGTAGATGAGTTGGCATTGTCCAGGACAGAAGGAGAAGGTAGTGCAGGCAGGCACTGAAAAACAAGCCTTTTCCAAGGAGCATATTAGCAGGACCCACCCACCCTCACCCCTGCAGGTGGCAGTGTCTGACAGGGTCGGGACACCTCTGAAAGCAAAGGTTTTTAATCCCGGTCCACATTATAGCAAACCCTGATTCTTTTCGTATTGGATTGTTCTTTTTAAAAACAATTGTGGTAAAATACACATAACATGAAATTTATATTTTAAGTGCACAATTTGGTGGTTTTAAGTACACATGGTTGTGCAGCTGTTACCACTACCCCCATCCTAAATGTTTTCATCGTCTCAAACTGAAATTCTACCTACTAAGCCATACCTTCTGAATCCTCCCTCTTCCTGGCCTCTGGTGACCACTAATATACTTCGAGCCTTGCTTGTTCTAGAAATCTTATATAAAGGAATAATACAGTGGCTGTCATTTTGTGTCTAGTTTATTTCACTTAGTATTTTCAAGATACATCCTTGTTAAAGCATGTATTCTTAATTGCTTTGTATAACTAGAGTGATTTAAACATTAATAAAAACAAACAGCATGATATTTTAAGAATAAAATTGTATATTTTTGCGACCAAGGAGTGTAAATTATCTGAATCTTTAAGCAATACTATATATACACACATACACACACATATATATTTTAAAAAGAGAATGACAAGAGTTCCTATAGAAGAATTCTACATAAACAGCAGTGATAAACTGTTTCTCAGTACCAAAGACTTAAACCTTCGTCATATGGGCAATGCCCTGCCATTTAGAGGCGTATTTAGAGTCATCAATGTGGGGTCCAGGTTGACCAGTTGTCATGACCTTGTTTTCTTTAAAACGAGCGAGTGACTTTGTTGTGCGGTTCATGACTCTGTTTTTCCGCTTGTGTTGAGGTGGCATGGAGAACATCGCGCGGCACACCTTCGCCCTGGCTCGGTACACGCACGCTGCCCTGTCCTCTCTCTGCTACCCAAACGGAGCCCCAGTGGTGCGGATCTACAGTGACTCTGAGTTCAGCAGCCCTGATGTTCAGGGTCCGATCATCAATTTTAATGTGCTGGACGACAGTGGGAACGTCATTGGTTACTCCGAGGTGGGTTTGCTTTTTTCATCTTGCTGACTTTGATGCAACAGAATTGCTCTGTTCCGGAACTTGGAAGGCTTGCTGAGCCTTGAGATTTACAGTGAGGCCTCCATGCCCCTGGAAGTAGCTGGGATGAAGTGCAGACACTGCTGGGCAGCCCTGGCCGTCACTCCCAGAGCCTTAAACTCCTAATCACACAGCTCTAGCAAGCCGGGCTGTGTATTCTCAAGCCCTTTTTACTCGGGTGGAGTAGGAAATTTTAAATTGGAAGAGAGAGGCTGATTCTTCTGTTACCAGTGGAATAGGTGACAGCTTGCCAGCAAGAGAAGACAGAAAAGTAGCATGGACAGAACCACAGCTGAAGTCATTTTGTTACACACGCTTGATACCTGATGGCATATCACCACGTTGTGACATCATTTGTTGGCGGAGTGCCTTTTCTATGAGAAGCAGAAATGGTCCACAAAAGCCCTTATTTCTACCTTAGTTCATGATCAGTTCAAAGACCTGGTGGGTTGGTTAACAGTGGTTTCTGCATGTATACATGCTGCCTGTATTTTTCCATGAAAAACAATGGGAAGGTTTTGGGAAGGGCTTGAGTTGGAGCAGATTTGATCATCAGCTGATTTGGAATTTGGTGCTCATCTTCTGCTGAAAGCCAAGGTGTTCTTTCATTGCTGAGACAAAATACCTGATGCCTAAAATTAAGGAAAGAAAGGTTTATTTAGCTCACAGATTGTGGAGGTTTCAGTCCATACTCAGCTGGCTCCAAGGCAAAGGGCCACATGGCAGAGGGCAGAGGTTCATGGCGGCGGAACACAGCAAACAACAAAAGCAAAATGGTAGGAATGGCCCCAAGCAGCCTCTTCCTCTCCCTTACATGTGCAAACTATCCGCCCCCAGGGTGGTTGTAGCTCTCACACCCATAATCAATCAAACTCTAAAAGCCCACCTATGACCGCATGAGGCTTTGGGGGGACACCCAGACACAAACTATAACACATGGTCCCCAAATACTTTTGTTAATCTTTGAATTTCCCAAATAAAAGCCATTTCTGAGCTGGAAATTCTGTTGTTCAGGTGTAGTCTCAGCTACTCAGGAGGCAGAGGCAGGAAAATCACTTGTGCCCAGGAATTAAGGGCCATCCTGGGTCATGCAAGGAGATCCAGTATAAAAATAAAAACTTAAAAATCCATTTCCCAAGGGATTCTCCCTTTCCCATTTTTCTAAATAGCTGTACACTTTCTAAAGAACAAACCTGGTAACTATTCTTCTGGGGGAAATGTTGGTTCCCTCTAGCATTTGGGGCAGATGTTCTACAACTCCAGGAGGTCTCTCAAAGTTAACAGTGGGGAATCCCCATCTCATCCCTGAAGACCTCCCTCAGCCTTTGTACTGACCACACCACCATTTTGAAGTATGTTTTTTAAGTGGCTGTGTGTCTATGTGTGTGTGTGTGGGGTGGGGGTAGAATATGCATCAGGGAAAAAGAATGCCTATTTAAATATGTTACTCTGGCTAATTAGTAAAATAAGTTTCATTCTTGAATTACAAGTAAATTTGTATTTCCCAAGGAAGTGGGGAAGGGCGACAGGTGACAAAGTGTCCTGTGGAGGTGTGGCTGGGGGAGAAACTTCAAAGAGGAGGAGTCACTGGGACCAGAGGCTTCCTATCGGGGCCTATGAGTATTGACAGGGTTGCCCATCCCCCTAGCTGTTTCCCTTTCTGGGCGTCAGTGGAGGAAGCTGACCACAGTAATGGGGTCACGGCTGGCATGTGGCCAGCTGGGTGGCTTCAGCAAAGCCCAGTTAAGTTTTCCTGGCGCAAGAAAACTTCACGGTGTGGAAATTCCACAGGGATGTTGGTGGACTTCAGAAAGATTAGATGATGTCATAGTTGGGTTCAGTTGTCTCCTTTTCAGGGGATGAGTAATGGAGTTTAACCTTTTATATGAAGACTTTAGATTTTTGTTTGTGACGTCTGGGCTTCCTAATTTTATTTTCCCCACGGTTGGGAGTCACTGCATATGGTGGCTAAGATGTGGATTCAGATTCTGCCTGCCTGTTGCTAGCTCAGTAAGTTTGGGCAAGTTAACTTAAGCTCTCCAAGATCTGTGAAATGAGAATGATAATATACCTGGCTTGGCTGACGGTGTTATGATGGTTAAATGAGATATGACATTCATATCCCTTAGTGCAGGATGTTGGGGTAAAGTGAGTGCTCAGTAAACACTGAGAGCCAAGGCTCCTGGCTAGGAGGCTCCTGTGCCTTGTGGCTGGGCTGATTTCTTGCCCTCCCTGGATTCAGCTCTTATGCTGCCATAGTAACCAGCTTCCTTTACCTGGCTGGGAACAAGGCTACAGTTCAGATGGTGGCGTGTGTTCCTCTTTCAGCTAGCATCATAACTAGATAAAGGGATGAAATATCAGAGGATATTGAGGCACAGTTATTAGAGAGGATTAATGAATAAGGGTGCACAATTCAGGTTGATGAGTCTACTGATGCTAAAAAGCAGGCAGGCTGGGTCTGGGTGGGGGGCTCCCAGGGCTGAGGGCCCAGGACCCAGACTCATCAGTGGGAAGTCAGGGCACAGTGTGACTGCAGCAGTGTCTTCCAGCCTTATCCTTTGCCAGGTGACCTTAATACTGCTTTTATGGAAGGCTGGGATCCATGTCTCTGCCCTTAAATCTGGGCTGGTTTGTGACCTGTGTGTACCTAAGGATGCTGCAAAGGTCACACTGTGGCTTCTAAAGCTAGGTCAGAGAAGGTGATGCCAAGTTGGCTTTGTTTCCCGGAGCACTTGCTTTGGAGCCCTGAGTTACTAGGTAAGTCACCATCTGCACCCTGAGGCTGCGTGGTGGAGGAAGCCAAACTCCATGGAGAGGCCAAGCCCAGACACCACAGTAGGCAGGCTCAATCCTGAGCCTCTTCGGGATCAGACACTACCCAGCTTGTGTGTTGGGGTAGAATATGCACTGGGGCAAAGGAATGCCTGGTTAAATGTCCGTAAGTATGCCTGGCAGGTGTAGCTGGGGAAGGAGTCTCAAAGAGGAGGCTCAAGAGGCTCTCAGCTTTTGAATCTTCCTGACTGGGACTCAAGATATGATGGAACAGAGAAACCACCTGTCCTGAGTGCAGCCTGAATTCCTGACCCACAGTAGCCTGGAGCATGCTACAGATTAATCAGTCCACTGCCCTTAATCTTAGTCTCAGGCAAAGTCTCTGGGCACGAGCAAAATGCAGACAAACTTTCTGCCAAGCCATAACACACATCACCTGGAGTCCAACTTATTCTTTCAAGTGCAGCTGGCTGTTTTGCAGCAGTGGTAAATGGAAAAGTGAGTTTGGGGAGGGGGTGAAGGATGGTCATGAGGGACTTCTGTCCTTTCTGTTGGGAACTGAGCTGGGACCAGAAAGGACTTCCCGAGGAGCTGGCCTGTGAGTGGAGACACCAAACTCCTTGTGGCTGCCTCTGGCCATGACACTTATGAGAGTTCAAAGGCTTGGCTATCTGGGCATGATGTGTTCATTTCCCCAGATGCAGTTAGGTGACTCCTCTGAGTTCAGCCTGAGCCACCTGGCTGAGGATCTGCTCCATGGCCCTGAGGGAGTGTAGTCCTTGACCTACAGCCAAGGAGTGGGGATGAACACCTACATCCTGGGAGCTGCATGTGAACAACCTTCCAGAGCCTCCAGAGGTCAGGAAAGAACCTTGGGAGCTTCCACACTGAGCGGCAATTCTAAATGAACCAAAAGTTGGAGAAATTAAGAACAGGAAATGGATATCACACAGTGTCAGTAGTGATACCTTGTGGGCCAGGCTGTGAGTCCAGGTGATGCTACCTGGAACTGCACCTCTCTGGGGCTGGCTCTGAGGTCAAATTCTGTGCAGCCAGTGCTGAGGAGCTGCTTCAAGTCCCCAGCCCCACCAAGTTATTTTGTGACCCTCACTGGAAACAGGTGGGCTCTTTGAATTTAGCTTGAATTTTTTTTTGGTATCAAGAATCAAGCTCAGGACCTTGTGCTTGCCAGGCAGGTGCTATGCCACTGAGTTATACCCCTGGCCCAGCCTGAATTTGATATATTCACTTTTCTCACGCATACTTCTATAATTCATCTGGATATGCATTAATTTCTAATAACATTTTATAAAATATTTAGCAAACCCATGATAGAGCATACATCTTAGAGCAAACTTCCAAGCTCAGATTATCATTTTATTGTTAGGAAACGGAGGTCCAAACACTAATCTGAAACTCTTCCAGGCTATCAGAGTAAACCTAGGTATCTGTACATGTCATATTTGATCCACAGGTGGACAAAATGGCCAGCCTGTACAACATCCACCTGCGAACTGGCTGCTTCTGTAACACGGGGGCCTGCCAGAGGCATCTGGGCATAAGCAACGAGATGGTCAAGAAGCATCTGGAGGTTAGTACAGGGCCCTGCGGTCCAAGCACTGGGAGTCATGGTGGCTACACTTGTGGCTGGTCACCTGTCTGGTGGGGGCTGTCCATTTGGACTTATTTCTTGGGTCCTTTCTGTGGATGTACAAAGAAAAAAATGGGTCATCAAGAACAGAAAGTACTTTGGGCCGGGGATGTAGCTCAGGGGCACAGTGCTTGCCTGGCAAGTACAAGGCCCTGAGTTCAATTCCTGGTAC